GAAAAAAAAAAAAAAAAAAAAGGAATTAAAATGGTTCCAGTATTTAACAAATATTGTATAATTCTGTCTGAATATCTACAAATGGTCCCTGGATTGAAAGTGGCGGAACGTGAAAAGGCATTGCCTAGAGAAGGGTGCAGGGCTTGAACCCCTCCCCTGTTTCATTGGTTTACACACAATAAATGGGTGAAAAACAGAGTAAAAAGAACGTGGATAAAATGATTTGGTTATGATGATGGCCCGTGAGTGAGGCATATAAGATTACAATCTGTTCTGACCACCCCTTTTTGTTCCTATGAATAAAGCTGATTTCTGAATCCCAATTCCTTTTCTGGGTTTGTTTTGTCTCCATGATTCGATTCACCCACACACTCCACCGAGCTTGCACCAAACCATGAATAATCAAAGCCCAATTACAGTCCCTCGACGCCGCCCATGGCCTGGATTGTTCGCGTCTTCTTCTTCTTCTTCCTCCAAAGCTTTGGGAACTTGGTTGGGTGAGGACGCCAATTGCATGGAACGCTTGTTGGTTCACTGCGCCAACGCTATTGAATCCAACGACGCTACTCTCGCCCAACAAATCCTTTGGGTCCTCAACAACATTGCCACTCCTGATGGCGACTCCAACCAACGCCTTGCCTCTGCTTTCCTACGCGCTCTTGTAACACGCGCTGCCAACATTGGCAGCTGTAAAATCCTCGCTGCCATCACCACCGCAGCTACCTCCTCCCTCACTACTCACTCCTTCTCCCTCATGGACCTCGCCACCTTCGTCGACTTAACCCCCTGGTACCGCTTTGGCTTCACGACTGCAAATGCGGCGATTCTCGACGCCATCGAAGGCTACTCTGCCGTCCATGTCGTCGATTTCAGCTTGATGCATTGCATGCAAATCCCCACTCTCATCGACGCTATCGCTACTCGTTTCGAGTTCCCCCCTCTACTCAAACTCACCACGGTTGTCGTAAAACACGCGCCGCCCTTGCTCGAGCTGTCGTACGAGGAATTAGGAGCGAAATTGGTGAATTTTGCAAGGTCAAAAAACGTGAGAATGGAATTTAGATTTGTGGAGTCTTGCTACACCGATGGATTTTCCAATTTAATCCAAGAAATTCGAGTGCAAAATTTAATTTACGGACCCGAAAGTAAGGAAGCGCTGATTTTAAACTGTCACATGATGCTCCATTACATCCCTGAAGAAACATTAAACCCAAACCCATCTCCCAATTTCGACATGTCGTCTTCAACTCGTTCGATGTTTCTCAAGGAAATCCGAAGCTTAGAGCCAGCGATTGTGATTCTAGTCGATGAGGAAGCCGATTTCACGGCGAGTAAAATGGTGAGTCGATTGAGATCGGCGTTTAATTACTTATGGATACCGTACGACTCGATGGATTCGATTCTTCCGAGGAACAGCAAGCAGAGGGAATGGTACGAGGCCGGGATTTGTCGGAAGATTGAGAATGTGATTGCTGAGGAGGGGATTGAGAGAGTGGAACGATTGGAGCCGAAGACGCGGTGGGTTCAACGGATGCTGAACTCCAAATTCCGAGGGGTTGGGTTCGGAGACGACGCGGTTTCGGAGGTGAAGACGATGCTCGACGAGCATGCAGCGGGATGGGGGTTGAAGAAGGAAGACGACCACCTCCTCCTCACATGGAAGGGCCACGACGTCGTTTTCGCCACGGCTTGGGTACCTTGCTAACTAATTTAACAGCTAAGTATTTTGAGATTTAGGGTTTAGGGTTTAAATTTGATTTAGGTTTATTAGGGAGTTACAAGAGAAAGATATTGAATTGATCCTCGAAAACAAAATTTGGAGTTCATATTTGTGAAGCTCACTCTTTCGTATCATATTGCAAGAAAGATTTCATATTTTGTAGAATAGAATGGTCATTTACTCATGAAGTCCGCTCAAAAGAACGTAGAAATAACTTAGAATCGAAGTAGCAATCTAAGATAACTAAAAAATACAGGAAGTCGAGAATCTAGAGTTAAGCACTAACTCTCGACGTTTTGCGCAGGTGTCAAGTATCTCTAAAATAATTCACTACTTCTAGAATTGTTCTAAAAATTAAGACCATTTTATGTTGGTAATAAATTTCAGTGATATTGATAAGTCAGATATGTTTGATATTTAAGTTTTATGGGACGGATGTCCATTGGGCCGCACTTACCTAACCAGGCCCATATCCTCTGCAACCCCACTTAATATTGGAATTTATCCAATTTCAATTCTTAAAAATCATATTTAATTCTTTATTTAGAAACTCTTACAAATTTTATTTAATAGAATTTAAAATCAAAGATGGCAAATTCGTGGAAGCAAAAACAATATTTACTTTCTTAAAATCATAAAAAAAAAAAAAAAAAAACAAAGTCAAATACGATTTAAATAGAAAAAAACAGAAATGTAGCGACCAATAGCACATTTGCTTAAACATGTGTGTTGGACACAGCTGTGTATTACTACTTTATTAAAATTAAATCCTAATTACATTCGCAATGAAAGTAAAACAAATCCCTCATTTTATTAACTCATTCTCAATTCCGCCGCCAATCAGCTCATCCTGTCGTGTCGAATCCGCTATACACACGTCGTTAATGTAATACGAGGTGAGGCTATTTGTCGTTTCAGTTGAAAGCACCGCAGTCGCGTCGGATGTTCCCGTTTCTACCGCTCTTCACGCCCACCCGCCCCAGCTTCGTCATGGCGTCAACAAACGCCTTATTAAAGGCCTGGGAATCGCCGGCCCATGCGTCCACCGTGGGTCGGGATCTCGTGTCCGTGAACAAAACCTGGTCCGACGTGAACAGACCCATTCCCTGCTGGAGGTTCTTGAAGTATATGTTGTCGAATGTTCTAGGCGTGATTGGGTCCATGTTGATCGCCACTCTGGGGTCCACATTCTTCGGGCACATTTGTTGTAGCTGAGTTGCGTAGGTTTTGTTTAGTGTAGGGTCCACTGGATTCCCCGGGGCAAAACTGTAAATTCGATTTGCGAACTTCCCGCAGTGCGAGAATCCAAGCGTGTGAGCCGCTGCCATTTTACTCAGACAGTCAGAACAACAAAACAAGGGCTCCACGACAAAGTGTTCACGGGTGTCTTACACGTGTCAGATTCTAATTAGATCCACGTTTACCTGATAGTGCGATCATGTCTTGTTGCGAAAGCCCATTAGCAGCAAACAGAGAATTGAGCTGGTTGAGATTAAATGTTGGCCCTGGGAGTCTACCGTCCACGTCGGAGGCTTTAGAAACTAGCCCGTCTAATCTTCCCAGCTCCACCGCGTACGACGGTCCGCCCGACTGCAATTAATTCCAACCCATTTGAATTAGATGCAGTTTTGGAACATTACTAAACATAATTTTGAGTTCAGAGTTCACAAGATTCTTCTTATCATCAATAGAGATGTATTCGTTAGTTATAAATTCCTAAAATTACGACTCCCTTTTAATAATTCTCAGGGTTAATTTTAAAAACAAATGTTAAGTACCAGTTTTATGACGTCCCGAGTGGCCATAGTAAGAATATCGGCGCAGGAGACTCTGTTTCGGGACTGAGGGATGGCGTCGACAGCGGTTTTAGCTTTGATGACAGTGTCGAATCCATCTCCGGCCAACGACAGGTTATCGGGATGATCCTTCTCCGCCTTGTTGGATGCGGTGGAAGCAATGATCACTGAGGCATCACATCCCTAAATACGAAAAGAATCAAAATAATGAAACTCTGCAATTCCCATCACAAAAAAACACGGTTGAATTGAAACAAATCATAGAAAATGACCTGAACGAAGCAATCATGAAAGAAGAGACGGAGAGTGGCAGGAACAGTAACGAAAGTCTGCTGAAATTTTTTAGTGACTTCGTTGCGGACAATGGTTTCGACATTTGGGCAAATGTCGGCGTAGAAGTTTTGTCGGAGTTGGGCGACAGAGGGAGAAGGGAAGACGAAGAGGGAAAGAAGAGACAGCGCAACAAGAAGATTAAAGCGACCCATTTGAGCAAAAAGAAAGATCAATAAAGGGAAGAACAGAGGATGAGCGGCATTAATGGTGGAGCAGTAGGCTTATATAGGCGTCCAGTTGAACAAAAATTCCAAACCTTTTTTTATTTTATTTTTATTTTTAACTCGAAATTATATATCTTAATTAGTTCAGATATATTATCATATTAATCATTTTTTAACGTAGGGGTTGAAGACATTTATATATGGTTGCATATACATGTATATCAATAATTTAAAAACTATAAAGTCAAAAATATTTATTTGATAGTTTGAATATTATAATAGACAAGTCATATATATAGAGAAAGGGAATATAAATTGGGCTCAATATGAAAGATGTTGTAAATGGAATTTTTTGAGCTATTATTCTAAATTTATTTGCCAGCTACATGTCTATAATTATTTGGGTATTTCCTAAGTCAATTGGGTGAGACGTGCTGTCGTGCTCAATGTAAACATAATTGTTGTTAAATGACTACTCATATTATGCATACAAAATGGCTATAAAATGCAAGCACTTACTAAAAAAAAAATAATAATACATGTATTGTCACCCCTTCGACTAATATACTTTATATACTTTATAGTTTTGTACTTATGAAGTTGATAAATGATATTTATATGTATACATTACCTCGAGTCTTATATGATATTTTAATATTTTACAATGAAATGTGTTTGACATGCATTTAAAAATATACTACATTGCACGTTGAAATGAGAGTGATGATATTTGAATGTATTTTTGAATACTAAGAAACGATATTTAATTTTTTAGTTCAATAATGTAAGATAGAGAAAATTCGAAGTTTTTTATTTGTTGGTCAAAACTATATATAACTAGTTCATATATTTATATGTGAGGAACGTTATTGTTATTATTATTATTATTATTATTATTTTATTTATCAAACGTGACGATGGAATTGGAGTTAAAGAGGCATAGAATTGAGTAACAATATAAAAGTTTTTTCGTTCTTGTTCCTATTAAGACCACCTATCATTACGTCTCTACATAAACCAAAAGACATTTTAATAAATCAGTTAGTTTTTTTTTTTAAGCAAAAATATAATATTATACTAATATCAATTTAAAAATTTTAAATTTAAACGGTAAAAATTTAACATATTTACTTAAACATTAAAAGAGGGGAAAAAATTGGGCGAAAATAAGGAGGAAGATTATAATCTCTATTTCCAACATTGTTTAACGAGTGAAGCAATTTCTCTTCGTTCCCTTTCATTTTCATATTTTGTTTGTGTTAAGGATAGTTGACCGTTCATTATAAGGCAAATATCTATATTTGCCTTACATGGGTTACCATATTTGCCCTTTTATTAAAGACAAATATATTGTATTCATTTATTATTCTTTCATTTTTTTGCCATTTCCATATTATTTGTAATTTAACAAATTTCTGTATTATGATTATAAATAAGAGAACTCTCTCACACATTTAAGTGTGATGGATTCAGCAAACATTCACAGTTTGACAATTTGATTCACGCAATTACGCATTTAAAGGTTAACCAACTTTCATTAGAGACCAAAACTTTTTTTTAAATGGGTCTCTTTTCTTTTTCCTCGAAAAGTCATGCATATTGATGTGGTCCCATTGATTGAGTAATTTTTACACTAGTGTTAACGTGACATCTTAACCACGTATCCGTTTCTAAATATCTAATTCTTAAAACACAAACACAAACATTACACTCTCCTGTCACTTGCTTTATCTTCTGGCCTTTGTTAATTAATTCAATATCTAATTATGTTGGATCTAAATTTCATTATATATATATATATATATTATTTTTTTTTTAATTTGAAATTTGGAATGAATAAGAGATGCATTAAGAAGGACAGAGGAGCGTTATATTTAACGGTAAACTCTAATGATCGATGAAATCCGACACGCGTTTATGCCTAGCTGTCACCTTTTTCCCACGTTATTGTCTGTCTAATCGAAGGTGTCAACTTGTCTGGGGAATCTTCTTTTATTTACAATTTTTAAAATACTTTTTTACAAAAAAAAAAAAAAAAAAAAAAAAAAAAAAAAAAA